AAAAAAAAAAAAACTGGGGAGAACTAGGGCACCTAGCGGAGGTTTGCACCCTAGAAAAGAGTATTTGGGGGTTCCTTATTACAACTGACTACCCACCTCTTCCCACATAAGAGAAGCCGGTCAATCATGAGCTTCCAGGGAGCTTTCTGCTGTCATTCCTAAGGAGAAAATAACCATGGTTCGCCTGAGAGTTAGTAAACCGTACAACATGATGGGAAAAAGAGTAAAAACAGATATTGGTAGGACCAGGGACTATTTGCTATTACTGTCTCTCAACAGAAAACAGAACAAAATGTAAATATCAGCTTTGACAACATAAAAGGTAGGTTTGGAAGGTAAACAGGAGGTGGAAAGAAGGGGAAAAGGCATGGGAAATATTCATTTCCCAAAGCGGGGTGTTGAGAAAGTTTATGGTCAATAAACAATAGAGATTTTTTTTTAAAGGTTTTATTTATTTATTTGACTCGGAGAGAGAGATAGAGAGCACAAGCAGGGGGAGAGGGAGAGGCAGAGGCAGAGGGAGAAGCAGGCCTCCTGCCAAGCAGGGAGCCCGATGCGGGGCTTGATCCCAGGACCCCGGGATCATGACCTGAGCCAAAGGCAGACGCTTAACCGACTGAGCCACCCAGGTGCCCCAACAATACAGATTTTTTTTTTAAAGATCTTATTTATTTGAGAGAGAGACAGAGTGAGAGAAAGAGAGAGAGAACACGAGTGGGGTGAGGGGCAGAGGGAGAAGCAGACTCCCCACCGAACAGGGAGCCCGATGTGGGGCCCGATCCCAGGACCCTGGGATCACAACCTGAGCTGAAAGCAGACAATCAACCGACTGAACCACCCAGGCCCCCCCAACAATACAGATTTTTAAGGATATCACTGCAAGTCAAAGAGTTCATGACCGGTGGAAAAACGAATGGTGACGTGACTTCACCGAGAGGAATGGACTTAAGAAAGAGTGTAAATGAACTAATGTCTTATTTAGTAAAGTAGGAAGTTAATGTCTAAAATTTCATCATGACGTAGTCATGTAAGTTTCTTGGAAATGAGAAGAATTAAAAATAAAAATGGCTAAAGTCTCATTAAGAAAGGAAATCCAGATAGCTAATAAACATGGACAAGTGTCCAATATGAAATGCCACTACACTCTAATCACATTAACAAAGAAGTCTGATAATTAAAGGTTTCCTAGACCTGGAGTATAATAGGAATCTCACACCCTGCTTACATGGGCATATAAATCGACACAGATACTTTGGAAAGCATTCAGCATTGTTCATTGCCTAAAGGTGTGCTAATACTCCCAACCCAACGAGTTTCCCTATCCCCTGCCCAGCGGGTAATATGTACTAGAACAACTGATGCAACAGGGTACGTGCGTGATTTGCATTAGCACCAACTAAAAGCAGCCCAAACATCCCTTAAGAGTCAAAAATTATGTGTATTCATACAGTGGGAAAACTACAAAGCAATAAAGTTTAATGAACTAGAGCCTACTGGCAGCAATATAGATGAATTTTTAAAAACAGTATTGACTGGAAGACTGCATATACTGTGATTGTCTTTACATGAAGTTAAGAGTTGGCAAAACCAAAGGGAATTTTTAGGGATGCATGCATGTAAAGATGCACTTTTTAGTATGGATATCATATTTTACAATTAAAACCTACTCAGAGGGGCGCCTGGCTGGCTCAGTTGGTAGAGCATGCAACTCTTGATCTCGGAACTGAATTCAAACCCCACACTAGGCATAAAGATTACTTAAAAAAAATTAAAACCTGCTTAAGAAAAGGTTGCCTCTAGGGGGCTGGATGTGTGAGTGAGTTGAGATTATTTGATTTTAAGTCCTTCGCTACTGTTTGTGTTCACATATATTCACTAGCATTAACTGAACATACCCTGTGCACCAAGCACTCTTCTGAGTTTGATGTGAGTGTTAACTCATGTAATCCTCACAAGAACTGTGTGATGTGGGAACCTGTCTTCATGTTAGAGATGAGGAAATTGAGGCCTAGAGTTACTGAACTTGTCCAAGGTTATATAGCTAAGGGGGAGGGCCAGGTTTTAGCCACAGAGATTCTGAATTTTTAAAATATAATCTGAAAGAGAAATTTAACTACTAATTACACACATAGAACTCGTATTGGCACAGGTTTCCCTTTTTCAGCAGTTACTTTTTGTGTGCTTTGTGCTAGATACATGTGCTGGGATAAAATATGCCCCCTTCCCCTAAGTTTCTTGCATTTTAAAGTGAGGAAGCAAGCCAAAGTTATAGTAGAAGTTATATAACAAGGGTTACATTGCTGAAAGCAGTCTAAAATCTTAGGAATCTTTTGGAAAGGAGTTTGTAGATCAATATCACGGAACCTCAAAAATGTTCATTTGCTTTGATCTCAAACTCATTTTTATTGACTTATTGCAAGAAAATTGTTCTACATATGGGAAAAGGCCTTCATGAATAAAAATAGTTATTTTGTTTTATAATACTGAAAAGTTGGAAAGAATTTAAATGTTTAATCATATAGGAATGATTACAGAACCGAGAGATGTGCTCAATGGAATATTTTGTACCCCATTAAAAAAGTCAAGGTTAGGGGTGCCTCAGTTGGTTAAGTGGCCGACTCTTGATTTCGGCTCAGGTCATGATCTCACGGTCAGGATATTAAGCCCCCGAGTTGGGCTTCTTGCTCAGCAGGGAGTCTGCTTGAGATTCTCTCTCAGTCTCCGCCGCCCCCCCCCGCCGCCAGCTCATGGGTGCTCTCTCTCTCTGTCTCTCAAAAATAAATCTTTTTTAAAAATCAAGGCTATGAATCCCCTGATTATATAAAAAATGATCCACTGTTAAATGGAAAAAAGTTGGGGCGCCTGGGTGGCTCAGTCGTTAAGCGTCTGCCTTTGGCTCAGATCATGGTCCCAGGACCCTGGGATCGAGCCCGGCATCGGGCCCACTGCTCTGTGGGAAATCTGCTTCTCCCTCTCCCACTCCCCTGCTTGTGTTCCTTCTCTCACTATGTCTCTGTCAAATAAATAAAATCTTTAAAAAAAAAATAAATGGAAAAAAGTTAAACATAAAATTAGAGATACAGTATGATGGGAGCTTTGTTCCAAAAAAAAAAAAAATCAAACTAGCCATTGTATAGAAGGGGAAGGAGAGCAGATGACAAGAAAGAATTTCTCCAAAACCTGATCATTAGTCTAATTTACATAACAGAATGTCAGATAATTTTGCTTTCTGATCTTTGGTTCCATATTTTCTTAAGTGTAGACATTGAGCTTTTTTTAAAATTTGTTTTAAATTCAACTAATTAACATATAATGTATTACTAGTTTCAGAGGTAGAGTTCAGTGATTCATCAGTCTTATATAATACCCAGTGTTCATTACGACTTGTTTTCCCCCCCAATGTCCATCACCCAGTTACCCCACCCCCATCCCCCTCCCCTCCAGCATCCCTCAGTTTGTTTCCTATGATTAAGAGTCTCTTATGGTTTCATATTTTTTTAAAGAGCATAAATTACTTTAAAACATTGTAGGAGGAGGGTAGTTTTTCCTTAAAATCCAACATGATATTCTAACTCCCTCCACTAGAGGGAGAAGCTATTTCATGTAATTGTACAATGTGCTGTTTATATTTAGAGCCAGTTGAGAATGGAGCATTTCAGTCTGTACTTTCTCTGTGGTGAGACTTTCTTGTTTACTGATTTGTTTAGAATTTCTGCGAAATAAGTTTTAAATATTAAAACCATTATATAGGGGCGCCTGGATGGCTCAGTTGTTAAGCGTCTGCCTTCAGCTCAGGTCATGATCCCAGGGTCCTGGGATCGAGCCCCAC